ATTTATTTATTTATTTATAATTCGTTCTTCATCATATTAAAATCTGCCGTCCATATATTAGGTTGGCCGTCTGTTCTCTTCTGGCGTTTAGAGAAGAGCGAGTAATCCCATAGTAGCGTAGTATGGTCACTTTTCCCGAGAGGTGCATTGGAAAACACTTCGTCGATATTAGAGAAGTCTTTAGTGAAAACGAGGTCTAGCCGATTTCCTCTCTGGTTCTCTCGAAATCTTGTTGGTACCCTCACATGTTGCGCCAGAGGGAGATCGAGTGCGAGGTCCAGTAGCTTATTGCTGAAAGAGGCTGGTCCACCGTTAACTGCCATAGTTTCCCACCCTATTGCAGGTGCGTTGGAATCCCCAGCAATAAGTACCTCTTGTTGGCTAGCTACGTCTTTGACTAAACCAATGAGCGACTCATCAGCTGCACTCCGAAGATTTGGTGGTCTGTAAATCGCCAGAAATTCTAGATTTTGTGCATTGCTCTTCTTTATCTTTATCCAGGCGGATTCATATTTAAGGGAGAGGGTGTGGGCTCTTTCAACTGCTGAAATTCCTTTCCTTTCATATACGACTACCCCTCCGCCCTGCCTATTTTGACGGTCTCTACGAAACAGCTGGTAACCCGGTATCGAAATCTCAGCATCCATGATTTCGGCATTAAGCCAAGTTTCCGTTTTGGCGATGACGTCGGGAATTCGTTCCGGTAATATCGCTTTGAGTTCGTCGATTTTCGAAACGAGACTTTGAGCATTGGTATACAAAAATCTCAATTTGGCACAAGCAACTCCGGCAAATTGACGTTTATCCATTTCTTGGGATTAAATGAAAAAGCCGGTCGGAGCTGATCGGGATGAACTGCTTTCCATCACTCCTAAGCTGTTAGAGTTATGGACTTTCTCCTGAGGAATGGCATCCGGACGCGTATAATTTTTCCGTCCACTATTCTGAGATTTGTCTCGCCCAGACTCGAACGCCTGAGGACTTCCAATTTGAGCCCCCTCCATTTTTCTCGCTCCGCGAGTGAAAAGTCCCGCTGAAAAAAAACTGATGGATGGGCGTGTTTAAGCGCAGCTTTCCTGCTCAAAAGTAGCTGCGCTTGTTCGTCATTCTCAAAGACAATTTTTAACGGTCTCGGTCGGTCTGGATCTTGTTTTGAGTCTTTTATTTTGCCCATCCTGAAAGCCTTTAATACTGTGACTTTTTTGTCTCTTATTAAGATCGATTTGAGATATTCCCGGAATATTTCTTTGTCATGTTGTATTCTGTCCTTTGGAGCGTCGGAAACAGACTCAGGCGTGCCCTTTATAACGATGCACTAACTGCGATCAACTAGACGGCCTTGTGGTATAATCATACCTACAGAGTCTTCATCGCGTGCATCCCGGCTACAACCTTCCACCGATTTAGGAAGGTTTGATTCAGCAGGACTAACGCATGACTGCTTGTTTACTACGATCTTTTGATCATTTTTCGTTTTCAGCGGCGCGATTTTCGCGTGCGGCGTAGCCAACTCTTGTTCCCTCGTCTGACTCTCTGTGCCTTTTCGAGGTACCCTGAGATTTCTTTTTGTTCGCTGAGATCGCGTCTGACCGCGCTTTTTTCGCACAAGACACTGGATGTCATTCCTACCAAGCTCTAGCGACCTACTATTTTCTTTCTCCTCCGTCGACACAGCCGAGGAAGCCGTGTTTGCGTATGTTCGGTCGCTTAAATTCTCTTTGGATGAATAGCGAGAGAGATTCCTCAGCTTCTCCATCTCCACTTTAAGGCCCTTTATCTCCTTCTCCATTTCCGCAAATTTTTGAAGGAGTCCGAAACATGTCGTACAGGCCTCATCTTCGTATTCGATATCCATACAGCTTAGTAGACTCTTTGCTCGTTTAGCGGGAGGTGACGTGACAGCGATATATACAGAGTTGCAGTCATTTGTACTACGAATAATGCCTACTCCTTTATTAATTTTAGTCCGTTCACCGTGCGCCGATAGTGTGGTGGAGATCACGCTGCTCACCCTACGACGGGACCTGGGTTCGAATCCCGCGAGTTTTTTGCACATTGTCGTGATGGTGTTTTGTCGACTCCCATTATTAATTCGAAGGATATGCAAGGTATTCTAGGTACGGGACGAAGTATTTAAAGGTGTATGAGAAGCTTTTTAACCAAGCCAACAATATGGAGCAAATAGCAAACGACTCAGCCGCTCTTGGATCAGGAGACTCCCGCGGTGCTGTTGGCAGAGAATTGATACGAAGGAATATGGTCGTTCCAAAGAAAGTTCTGTCGGAGTTCCGTGTCGATCGTTAGAGGAATTGTTGATTAAGCTTCAATTTCTTAATCCAAATGGGGCCGAGATGCGTCCAGTGGACAGAAATCCCGGAAAAGGCAAATCCCTCGGAGGTCGAAAATTCGAAACCGAATTCGAAAGGCGCGCGAAAAGTTAATGATGTAAATAACTTTCGGGACGTGTACAAAACACCCTCTCCAGCAAAGCTGCTTGAAAGTATAATTTTCAATAAAATTCTTGACTTATGTCTGGTTAATCGGCTTCTGAGCTCTTATCAGCCCGGAGTTTTCACCTGAACGATCCTGCGAAACTTGCCACTTTGCATTTCTTAATCTAACCACTTTTGTTCGTCATAAACAGCGGTTGGTGGTAGTTATATACTTCGATCTTAGCAAAACTTTTGACAGACTGCCCATAGACATCTTTTGGAAAACTGAAGGTTTTCGGCATCCGGTCGCCTCTATTGGACTTCCTTGGGTTCTATCTATCTAACTAATATCAGAAAGTCATGGTCGGTAATAGGTAGTCGCTACGTCACTCGATCACGAGTGCGTACTTCAAGGCACGGTTCTGGGTCCCCTATTCTTCCAAAAAAAAGAAGGACGCCTACGTACACGCAGACCAGCGAAGGAGAACGACCAGGAGGCCTACGAAGGACGGTCGCTGGCTCCCAAATATGTTGAACAATAAAGACATCGGAACACCTTGTGGACCGAATATTCAGGAGGAGGTTTCGAAATAAACTGAGGTAAGCTTTTTTGACGAACAGCTCGGAAACACAGAAGGAAGAGTTATCAACAGGAAGATAAATGAATCGTACACGGATCTCAGTTTTGCTAGCCCAATAGCTAGTTCATCCGAAACCAGCGAAACTAGTAAACTGGAGAAGAACGCTCAGTCACTCAAACATGTGTGACAACAACGGGCACTAGGTTCAGTCGCAAGCAAAATGTAGTAATAAAAGGAGTACCCGAATAAACGGCAACAATTCCAAAGGAGAAAGTTATGCATGACTTAGACCTTCTGCAAGTGTATGCGAATGCTTTGTTAAGAGACAATGAGTCACTTAATGTTCTCAAAGCATTCCGAATAGGGAAGAGTCAGTCAGCATCCGGTTCCAGTTCCCGGCCTCGACCCCTGAAAGTCATTTTGGAGACTGAAGCACAGGACCAGCTCATGTTACAGAGAAAATCATCTCTACGGGGTCAGCATCCTGAAGTTTTTTTTCAGCCGGATTACGAGCCAAAAGAGCGAATGAAAATGAGAGAGCTGATGACGAAGCTGGAAAAGCGGAGAAGCAGCGGCGAAACACATCTATAAATCAAGAACGGACAAATAATTCAGGTCCAAAGGACATTTCTCTGGCCGAAGGCCATCATTCTGACAGCCTAACCGATGCAAAGGTGCCAACTCCTGAGGCTGCTCTAATCAGTGGCCGCTGTCTAGAAATCTATTACACTAACTGCCAGAGTCTTCACAACAAGCTAGATGAACTCAGCTCACTAGCCTCTTAACAGAAGCCAAACATAATTTTCCTAGCAGAGACATGGTTAACTGAGGAAATTAATAGTAGCAAAGTCAGAATTAAAGGCTACCAACTGTTCCGTTGTGACAGATTATAGCGTAGAGGAGGAGGCACAGCTATTTATGTGTCAAATGAAATTGCGTGCTGTCAACGGGAAATATCCGATGGTGCGCCCCGAAATTTTGAAATAATTTCATGCAAGATATGCATCAAACAATTACCGACACTGAACCTGCGTGTTGTCTATCGGCCTCCTAGCTCAAATAAAATCGCCGATATGGAATTACGTAGTGTACTGGACTTGTTATGTAAGCAGGAGAACTTACTACTTCTGGGTGACTTCAACGCTCCAAGAATAGACTGGAACATTCCTCTAACAAACGCCTCGTCCACGTCATTTGACCACAAGCTACTACAACTCTCCCTGAACGTATACCTCATTCAGCACATAAAATTCGGGACAAAAATGAGAGAAGGACAACGATCTAACTGTTTAGATCTCGTTTTCAGTAAAGAAGAAGGACTCATAAGGGGAGTGAATCCACAACCTCCACTCGGTTTAAGCGATCATATTGTTTTTAGCTGCGTGTGCTCTCTCCTATCGAACCAACAACCAAAAATCAAGACGCGCAGAAATATTTGGAAGGGTGACTTTAACGCAATGAGACGCACTCTTTTGGAGGAAACCTGGTTGGTCAACATAGAAGATTTAGACCAATTTTGGCAGTACTTTCGCGGGATTATAGAGCGTCTAATTGATTCCCATTGTCCAATAAAAATGACAAGACCATGTTCGCGACCGCCGTGGGTCAATCCGACGACAAAAAAGACCATGAAGAAGAAAGAGAGACTCTGGAAAAAGTATCTGCAACTTCAAGATCCAAGATCATTCGTCGAATATAAGGATCAGCGCAATAAATGCCGCAAACAAATACGGGTTGCTAGAACTTCTTTCGAGCGCCGACTGATAGCAGAATCCATTAATGTCCCAAGAAGTTTTACGGGTACATCCGCAGTAGGAGGAAACATAGGGACGAAATTGCGTGTCTAAAGGATAGCCTCGGAAACTTACTAATTGAAGGGCCACAGAAAGTGCGATTACTGTCTCAGTTTTTTCAATCGGTTTTTACGGTGGAGTCCCCAGAAGAAAATCAGCAGTTTGAAAGGTACCGAGACAGCCGGAAGCTTCAAATGCGCCAAGATATTGCCGTCATTGAAACCGTCGCCTTTTCCGTCGAAGAAGTCAGACGCGTCCTCAGCCAAATAAACCCTAATAAGTCTCCTGGACCCGATAGAATTCCCGGGCTGATATTTAAGGAGCTATCAACGGAGCTTTCAAAGCCTCTTTCGACTCTCTTTGAGCTGTCAATGAAAAGAGGAAGACTGCCCTCACAGTGGAAGACAGCTAACCTCGTTCCATTGCATAAGGGAGGTAGCAAGATGACAGTAAGCAGCTTTAGGCCTATTAGCTTAACTTCGCTCCCCTGCAAAACGATGGAAGCTCTAGTAAAGAGGGCTATACAGCAATTTTGTGAAGAAAATAACATTTTGCAGGATTTTAAACATGGCTTCCGGAGAGGACGTTCCTGCCTCTCAAATCTGCTAGCTTGTCTGGAAATCTGGACCAGGGCTCTAGAAGAGGGTTTTGAGGTCGATGACGTATGCATTGATTTCCGCAAAGCTTTGACACTGTCTCGCACCAACGTCTTCTTCACAAATTGAGCGCCATCGGCATCCGAAGAGATCTTCTGAACTGGATTAGGGCGTTTCTGGTTGGTCGGAAACAACGTGTCTGTATCGGGGATGATATGTCAGAATGGGTGAATGTGACCAGTGGTGTGCCGCAAGGCTCAGTTCTGGGACCATTGCTCTTCATCCTTTACGTTAACGACAGCCTTCAGGAACTCGATTGCGGCAAAATAATGTTTGCAGACGATGTTAAGCTCTGGCAAGTCATTAAGGGTCTGAATGATCAGAGATCCCTTCAAGATAATCTGCACCGACTGCAAGCGTGGTCGAAGAAATGGCTTCTAGATTTCAATGTGGAGAAGTGTGCCGTCCTTCATCTGCGTCCAACCAACTCTCATTCAAATGAAAGTCTGAGGACTTATCACCTGAAAGATATAAGGCTCCCCGCAGAATCTTCACAGAAGGATCTCGGGGTTTGGATACAGAACAATCTGAAACCAACACTGCAGTGCCACAAGGCTGCAAAAACGTAACGGGAGTGCTGCATTCAATAAAAAGGGCTTTCGTAAACTTTGAGCAAGACCTTTTTGGGGGAGTTTACGGCAAATTTGTTCGGCCCCACTTAGAATATGGCATACAAGCGTGGCGGCCATGGCTAGTAAAGAACCAAACATGCCTCGAACGAGTACAACAGCGTGCAACAAAGCTGGTAAACGGTCTAAAAAGCCAATCCTACACAGACAGCCTGAATTGTTTTAATTTATTCCCTCTGTATTACAGGCAGCAAAGAGGTGATCTTATCCTCGTCTACACGATAATACATGGCCTTGAGTATGGACTTAAATTTGAGGACATGTTTCAGTGGCACCTTTCACCCAATCCTCGTGGTCACTCAATGAAGTTGCGGACAACAATGTCCCGGCTGAATCTTCGTTCTGAATTTTTCACGCAGAGGGTAGTGGAGAAATGGAGCGATCTCCCTCAGTCAGTCGTAGGGGCTACGTCTCTGCAACTCTTCAAGAAACGCTTGAATGATTATTTGTGTCCCCTGTTTTCCCTCGACAGTCTGAATCTGAACTACTACCCCTGGTCCCCACAAATATTTTCTCTGAGACAATGCTACTCAAATGAATCAAGTAATGTTTTAATAGTGAATGCTTTTTGTTCGTGTACAGTTATTTCTAACGAGCTGACATGTAATCAATAGGGTTTTCCAAGGCTTTGCCTATTATCATTACCAAATTAACTGGAAAAAAAACAAACGGTATCATATTTCACCTGAACTCAGAAATTCACATGTTTTTTCTTATGCCGATGAGCTTAAGTGTGTTTACCCATATTCTTAAAAACTGCAAACGCTTGTTTTGAAAAAAATAATACCCATTTACTACGCCTAAGCAGATAAAATTCAATGTGGCAGACGGTGCTTTTATCGTCCAGGTACAGTTTCATTTTTTCATGCAGCCAAAATTCCTCGTCCCATAATTTTTCAGAAGTACCCATTCCCAGAATGCGTTACCATAAAAAACCTAAGTTTAACTTATACAAATAAACTTGCTCTATCATCTCGTGCGAAGAGATCGCTGCCAAATCCGCGCATATATGTGAATTCGTGTCGCACATTTTTTTCCTTCCGGAAATGAAGCTAAGACTTTATCAAATGTTTGTTCATCTAGTCATCAAACACTGCTGTCCTTTCTTTGGTTTAATGAACGCCTGTGATCGTTATAAGGTCGAAAAGGTACAGTAGGTTTTCACCCGGAAACTGTTCTCTCAAGTCGCACACGGTATTTCTTATACTCAGAGATGTCCGCTGGCGAGCATGAAGTTTTTATGGGAAGGAAGACTCGAAACCGGCCTTCGCCTCCTTTTTCGCATCAACTCCAGCTCAAATCTTGCGTTAAGTTACACTCTCACTCGGAGAGATAGGTCTTATGCCACGCACAACTCCTCCGTGATGATTCCGCCGTCTATTTGCATAACATTTAAACGCTCACTCTTTTTTACTTACAAATATGCCTTTCTCTGCAAGGATCTTCCGCTAAAAATTAGGTCATCGCCTACGCTATATGTAGTTAAGTTGAAATTACGCAAACACCTTACACCGGAACATATAAAGGCACTTATAACGGTCTCACTCCCGAACACTTAGCTTCTTGATTTCGAGAAGTGTCCTCCTGGGATTTACTGGTATTGAATTGGTTTCTAAATCCGCTGCTATCACTCCGCCCCCAAAGCGTCGATTTTCGCGGTTCTTGATGTCATCTCCTCATCTCCACCTTAAGCGGACTGTTGACGCTCACGAGGGAACCCTCAGTGTTCGTCGTATACTAGTAGTTTGGTCGTACCTCCCTTCCCAACTCCTCGGCTGGGCTCGAAGCTTAATGTGACCGATCACGTATGGTTTCTTTTCGCCTAGCCACTTTGACGCGAAAGGTCTCATCCGGCGTACGAATTCTGCTCTGACGATGTCCGTTTCAAATCCCTTATACAATACCACATGCAGGTCAGTCCTGTCTGATCCGCATACATACCCCTCATGGCTGACAGTTATTTCTGCCCTGACGGTGTCCGTTTATAATTAGTTATGTATTGACACATGTAGGCCGGTCCTGCCCGCATATTTATCCTTTTAGGAGCGACAGATTTTTCTCCTGTGAAGTTAATGCAATCATTTCTTTATTCTAGAGGAATTTGTTTTCACTGCTCGCTCATCATTTATCTAAACAGATTACTAATTCAGAAACTATAAATTGCATATTGTACAGATTCAGACTATCATGTCTGAAATTCATAATAACAATTATTTTTACTTGCCTAAAAAGGACCCAGTGGGTCTGTAAAAATTATTTTAGTCATTTATTTATTTAAGTCACTACGGACAGCAGGTATCGCATCGAAACGCGTGTTAGAGAGGAGGCTCGGGTAAGCTAGACCACCAACATTTGTGAGAAAATCTGTGCCATATGGCCGGGTATGCCTGCGAATTCAGCGACTTGCTGACAACGAAGAGGAGCCGCTTTTAATGCAGTCATCTCTCCTGTTGGGGAAGATACTGAGGAATGCAGTGTTGAGCGCATCGATATGTGCCCTTCGAGTTCGGGGAATCACTATTATGGTAAAAGGCTTGCAACAGAAATTTTGGAGCTGGTGTGTACACCTGGAAATATGGCTGGGACTTGTACATAGGTGCGCCAGTATAGTTGGCAGTCGTTGTAGGGATTGTGTGCGTCTTCTATGTCACAATTCAGCAAACCATGGCCCTCACAGCCTGTTGTGTGCTGACATCTCTCTGTCATCTGGTTCCCTGCTAATAGAAGCGCTTGCGCTCCAGCTGAGTATACAGGCTGCATGCCTGGTTACACAGTGACTTTTGTCATTCCCTTCTCTTTGTGACCAGTTTTTGTCGTTGGTTAGAATCCTAGTCAAGTGTTTGTTGCGCAGCAGGGAGTGTGGTGGTACGCCTAGGTGCGGGTCCGGCTGTGCCAGGCAACTGCGCCCTACCCCGTCCTCGGTCATTTAGACAGTGTCTTGTCGCTGAGCTCAGGCGGGGGGAGGGGAAGAGAGTGCGTAAGATATTGTGCAAGTTTACTTCTACTTTAACTCAATCCACACACAAGCCACTGCTCCTGTTCACACTCTGCTGTGAAGCACACAGTTGTTGCCTTTGGCAGCGACGGTCTACTTGTCAGTTTGTCTCTCATTGTGACAAATGTGCATTTTTAATGTTAATAACGCAACGTACAGATTAGGAATAAAATCTTTCATCCTTCATTTTTTCAGCTAAACGTTCAGTTTTCTCACAGATATTTCTTACAATTTTATCTTCCGGAATCTGGACATTTCCAGTCGCTAAGGTGCCTCGGTTGCACGCATAGCGCACATAGTCCTGTTCAGTAATTCGCTAATTATACATGTGAGCAAGTCGATGTTTGCATCCATGTTGAGAAGTTGGGCGAAAAATGTTAGAATGCAAGCATTGTGGGACCATCGCTAATTTACGTTCGCTTTCTCTACATAGGGCACTATCGCGAAGAATTGGTGGTAACATGCGCGGGAACCAATTCGCGTTGTGAAGCGGACTGCGCTGCATTTACCTCTCTTCTCGTGTCCGCGGTGACTGAACCCATATCCACACGTGCCAGAAAGATATCAACAACCTCAGAATGAAGGCCAAGCTTCATTCCAGTATTGGCTTCTTACCCCTTGGTTTTTGTAGCTGATCGCATTCCCCAATATAATTTTGATCTTTCTCCAAGGCTTACTCCTCTCCACGTTCGCTTCCAAAATGGTTGTCCCTGTCCACACTGGCATAGTATTCAGATTTCAGAAAAGTATGTTCTTAAGACTTTTACACTACCCGCCCAGCATTTCTTAATCGATTTTCTGCAGGTCAGTTCCTAAAGAGAAATTAGTCCTTACCTCTTAACTATCAATAATTTGACTACTATTTCTTCACCTCCATATCATATATTTCTTAATAACGTTGGTCATAGCTACACTACTCGGGGTATACTGGATTTTAGATTACTGAATGCTCGTTCTGTTATAAATAACATGATCTGGCACAGAACAGTAGCCTTTGAGATTACGCCCGGCGTTATATGCCAAACCGAATTGTCGACATATCCTCTATTTCCTCCATTTTCGCATTTTATATATGGTGTTCCTTTTTACTAGATAGATAGATAGATAATTTTTATTAAAGACCCGTCGGGGTCCCATCAAAGCAAGTTAAAATAAATCTACATGCGAGTTTTAGACGAGGTAGGCCGAATCTTTACAAAATGCAATTCATAGTTTCTGAATTAGAAGTCCAATGAGAAACATGATGATTGAGGGGTAAAAAAACTCATTGGAAAAAGTTAAAAATGATTGGATTAATTTTACAGGAGAAAAAACCCCTCTTTATAAATAATAACAGAAAAAAGCGAGCAGGACTGGCCTGTAGGTGGCGGTATATAACGGAATGTTGTCGGTCATCGTCAGGGTATCAATAAATGTCCGCCTTGATGGGTACGAATCTGGGTCAGACAGGATTGGCTTGCAAATGGCATTGTATACGGGATTCACAATTGAGATCGTCTGGGCCTGATTGGTACGCCGCGTCAAAGAGGCCAGACGAGAGGAACCGAGATGCGATCGGCCACAGCACGCTTCGAGCTCATCCGAGCAGTGAGGAAGGGAGGTACGACCGAACTACTAGTAAACAGTGAAGACTGAGGGTTCCGCCGTGAGTGTCGACAGACCGCATGAGGTCGGAACGCGGGAGATGACATCAAAACCCGCAAAAATTGTCGCTATGGGGGGAAGGATAACGATGGATTTAGAAATCAATTCAAAACAGGAGTTTCTAATGATATAATTAGGAGTTACCACGTAATCTACCACTAAATCCCAGGAGGACCCTTCTCGATGTCAAGAATCTGAGTGTTCGGGAATGAGATCGTTAACAGTGCCTTTATGCTTTCCGGTGTAAGATGGTTGCGTAATTTCGACTTGAATACCAGTAACCTAGGCGATAATCTAATTTCAGGCGGAAGATTATTCCAAAGGAAGGCACATTTGGAAGCAAAGAAGAGGGAGCGCTTAGATGTAGTACAAAGAGGCGGCGGAATGACCGTGCAGGAGTTGCGCGTGGCATAAGACCGATCTCTCGGAGTGAGAGTGTCAATGTGCGGAAGACTGGAGCTAGAGTTGATGCGAAAAAGGAAGCAAAGGCCAGCTTCGAGTCTTCTAACCCACAAAAACTTCATGTTCGCCAGCTGACATCTCTGAGTATAAGAAATACTGGACGAAGCTTGAGAGAACAGTTTACGGGTGAAAATCCTCTGAACATTTTCGATTTTATTACGGTCGCAGGCGTTCATTAAACCGAAGAAAGGACAGCAATATTCCAGGACTGGAAGAACAAACATTTCATAAAGTCTTAGCTTCATTTCCGGAAGGAAAAAATTATGCGATATGAATCCACATACCTGCGCGTCTTTGGCAGAGATTCTATCTGCATGAGGCGATAAAGCAAGTTTATTTGTATAACTTAGACCTAGGTCCTTTATGGTGAGGCATTCTGAGAGTGGGTTATTCTGAAAAATTATGGGACCAGGAAGGTTGGCAGGACCAAAAGACATGAAACTACACTTGGATGATGAAAACTCCATCTGCCATGTCGAACCCCATCTGCTTAAGCGTAGTAAATCGGCATTAATTTATTCAACACAGACATTTGCGGTGTCCTTAGAGTATGAGTAAACACAACTGAGGTCATCGGCATAAGTAAAAGTTTGCGAATTTCCGAGTTCAGTCGAAATATCATTGATGTACAGAAGGAAGAGTAGCGGACCCAGGACCGTGCCTTGAAGTACGCCACTTGTGATCGAGTGAGGTGTCGAGTAGCTATTATCGACCATGACTTTCTGATATCGGTTGGACAGATAGGACCTGATGAAGTCGAGTAGAGGCGGCCGGATGCCGAGAGCTTCCAATTTTACTAAAAGACGTCTATGGGGCACCTTGTCAAAGGCTTTGCTAAGATCAAAGTAAATAACAACCACTGACTGCCGCTCATTACGAAGAGAAGTAATTAGATTAAGAAAAGCCAAGTGGCATGTTTCGCAGGATCGTTCAGGTAAAAACCCATGCTGACTAGAGCTCAGAAGCCGATTAGCTAGACAGAAGTCAAGAATTTCATTGAAAATAATCCTTTCAAGAAGTTTTGCTAGAGACGGCGTTTTGTGCACGCCCCGATAGTTATTAACATCGGACCGAGATCCTGACTTGAAAACGGGAATGATAATTGACGTTTTCCATGTTTCAGGAAAGAATCCTTTTGAAATATAAACCGAGAATAGATGACTGAGCAATATGGGAAAGTCGGACGCTTGCTTAATAATCGAATTCGGAATCCCGTCCGTTCCTGAGCAGTGGGGAGTATTTCAAACGGCTTATATGTTTCTTAATGAGATCTGAGGAGACATCAATTGTACTAAGTGTCCTATCTGAAAGTGATCGAAAGAAAGGGACCGGATCGGACTCGGTAGCAAGGTGTTTTGCAAAGAAAGCACTAAACAACTCCGCCTTGTCAGTGTCATCTGTGAGGAATACTTTGTTATCATTTAGCATGGGTGGAAGTTCATGACCACGCTTAGAGTAGGACCGATGACGGAAGATGCTAGCGACGGATTTGCCAGGGTTCGAACCACTGAGAGCAATTCATTCTATTTGCCTGTTGCGCGTTTTGCGCATCCTTGAGGCCATCTAAAAAATCTCTGTGATTCTAAGATGAACTGATAAGGAACGCAGTTTTCGCCTCAACTTTTTTAGTCTGTTCTGAAGAAAATGAGAAACAAGAGAATCTGAAGAATTAGGCTTGAGATATCTACGCGGCACAAACTCTAGAATGTCCTTGGAAACATTGGACATGACATCACGAAGAATGGTTACATCGCTACAAGTGAGGAAGCCACACCAATCCAAGGATCTCATATAGTTATTTATTAAGTCGCTATCTACGCAGTCGTAGTTCATGAAAGTCCGAACGGCACTTGTCTTTTTTGAAAAGGCAAGCGGTAGGCAACAATGAATTAATACGTAGTCACTGTCAAAGAGGTCCTTTTTTAAAGCAACAGAAAGAGGAGCAATGTCATTGGCAAAGATTAGATCTAAAATGTGATTATCTCCTGTTGGAGAGCGCACCAGTTGAGACCAATTAGAAAAATTGATAATATCTTGAAAGGGCTGGAATCTGGGTGGGCAGCTATTGAAAACCCAGTCAATTTCAGGAAGGTTAAAATCTCCAGTGATTATTTTAAAATCGAAAGCAGCTTCCGAAATTAATTTAAAGATTTCAGAAAGTTGTGAATCATCACTGACTAAAGAATTTGGGGGATTGTAGATACAGCCAATAATTGCCTTTCTTTGCGGCGAGAGAAATAACAGATGCAAAGCAGAAGTTTCCCGTGAATGAGGAAACATCCAAGTAATAGGGAGAGTGCTTTAGGTAGGATTTAAGATAAAGAAGACAACCACCCCCACGCCTAGTCGTGCGGTCTTGGCGGTAAAAATCGAAGTCATCTATGAGAAGGGCAGAGTCAGGAATTAGAGAATGTGTCCAAGATTCTGTTACACATATAATATCAGGCGTCATTTCCAGAGCAATGGCTCTGATTTGGGCCCTCTTGTTTATAACAGACCTGGCATTCAATAATATAATATCTAATGTGTTTCGAACGGCAATGCTATTTTCGACGGTATTTAAAAAAAACTTGGAGGCGGATATGTAAGCTGCGAATTAATGACACTTAGAGAATAAGTACCAGTTAATTTAGAGTTATTGACGTATGGGGAGTCAGCAAGAGAATGCTGCCAAGAAGGTGTAAGTAGGCGTGTTTGAGGTTGTCTTCTTTGTGTTAACAACTTTTCAAAGCACTTTCCGCATGATCCGAATGCTGCCTAATTTCCGGGAAATGTCTGTTTTACTTTTGTCTTTCTCTCTCGGCAAGGATGGGCTATTCTTGGCTGTAGTTACAAGAACAAAAGTCTACATCTAGTAACTATGCACAACTTTAAGAATTTACATTTGACGTTGCTATAATTACTGCAGTCAATAAGTTTACTAAAATCAATTGGCATTGAAACATTTGTCCTATTAGATGTCGCTATTTATGAGATACGGCATAAATCCAAAACAGATTGCCAGAGTGTCGCGATTCCCACCGTTGCTTATTCGTCTAACATCAGCCTGTATTGCCAGTGTTTACTTCCCTGAAACGCGAACAACTTCTATTATTTTTTTAGTTATCTTGTCAACACGCAGAATTGTCTATCTAGCCGACCTGAAAGCTCTTGTGACACCTGTCAATTGGTCTTCCACAACTTTAAGCATTTTTTTCGTAACGAACAGCGGCCAGGGATGATTTTGTATGCTTATTTAATGAGGCACAGCCAAAGTCCCTGTTGACAATTGTCGTCAGTTAAATTTGTTGTTGGAAATAGGCGTAAGACTTTGAGCACCCTATAGGGTGGATATATCCACAGTGTACAGAGAATCCCTGTGCGTTAAAATAGTCCAAATCGGACTGTAAGTGTAGGGTAAACCGGGCATGAGTCTGGACATGCAGCACTCAAGGTTCCTTTTAAATGTTTCCATCCATTTTACATCACACCGTCCGCTGGGAGAACATTCCATGATTTGGCAACTTTGACAGAGAAGTAGAAGTTGCCTTCATCCGGCTTTTCCTGCTAAACTAGAAATGTTAATGGGCAAACTTTGAACATGCACGTGGCAGCAAATTCTCAAATTCCGTTAATAGTCAGGTGGTTGTCAATAGTGCAGCAATGTTACCTGCTTTTCAGAAATGCTCGAGAATTCGCTTATGATTTACAGGGTTAATGTTTTTCGCATGGATTTATAAAGAAAGTAGCTTTGACGCCTGACCATTTTGGCAACCCGTCCAACGAACTCTCTTGAACCTATTCTGGTTTCGGAAATCTCACGATTTCCAGACCTGTGATCTGCATTCCATATGCGGACTCACTAATGTTCGGAAGATTTCTTGGGTGTGTTACGTATCAAAATCCGAATGAAATGCTAAAATATTTGAGTGTTATCGCGACATTACGACTGCGGCACTCTGAGCGGATATTTTTAAGGATTTTTCGATAGCACATTGAAGCTCTTGTGGGCGTCCACATCCTACTAATGTGCGCTCATTTATAATGTTAGAGTACAGATGGAGCACGTGTTTATGCTCAGTGCGAATCAGTGCCGAAGGAATGCAGCGCACACTGTTTTATTATATGACAGTTTGTAAGCAATCATAGTGTGGAAAGATAACTTGTCGAAAGAAAAACGCAGTCTTCTTTTGAATTCACAAACGATGTTTTGGTTCACCTTCCCGCCTGTTAGTGAGTGACATGGAAGAACTAGTTCTCTGCTTAAATAACGTTTGCCAAGGTCTAATCACACGCGCTCGCCTCCAAACTTGTACGTTTGACCGCTTAGGGGGACTGGACATAAAAATTTAAATATGTCGTCAGGTTTTGGTGATCAAAGGTTATCACCCATGATCTCAGATTTTCAGAGCAGGATACCTAATAGGTCCGCGTAATACAGGAGGAATAGTCCAGATCTTTCAACATATAATAATAAGAAAATTACTTAAGGCACACAAACGACACTTTACGAAAACATTTAATGTTGAGGAAATTAGTAAAATACAGATGGTAAAGTCAGAAATGCTGTATTAGTGACCAAAAGTGCGATATAGTAAGGAAATTCCACCACGTAAAGTATGTAAAACCTTTACGTCCACCTGGTCATTTTGGCCTTTTATATGCGACATCCTTGATAATGATGATTTTCGTAATCTCAGAATTGGAAATTCTTCGAATAAATGGCGAGTTACTAACGGAGGAGTGTCGAAAAAATCAGAAATCGAAAGACAGGGTGCAATTCAGGTTGGCTCCAGAGGCTCCAGGTTACACTAAAAAATATATTCTCCTTACTCGTTGGCTGCGTCTATCGTCCTCCCAACGCCAACGACAATTTTGATCGTTTACTCTCACAGGCATTTCATGCTGCAGCCGACTCAAACTTTAAGTATCAATTGGTTGCGGGCGACTTTAATCTTCCCGAAGTCCGCTGGTCTCCGCCTTCAGGCCCAAGAAGGTTCGAAGGCTTTCTTGAGGCAGTGGATGTTGGGATGTGGAGTCGGGTTGTCGATTTTCCCTAACGAGGCTCAAGCATACATGACCTAATTTTCTGTAGAGGCTGTATGCCATCATCGGTGTCATCCCTAGGCCCACTCGGGGGCTCAGACCATGACATAGTTGTTTCAACGTTGGAATTCGAGGCTGACAAAACGTCGTCCTCAAAGTATAGCTTTTTCCGGAATTTCCGATCAACTCGCTCAACCGAATTATTAACACACCTCAATTCCTACGACTGGACTGATTTCTTCCTTGGTTCGGATGTAAATGTTTGCACTGCAAATCTGTATGAAATTTTGGATCCGCTTATTTCTCGTTTTGTCCCCCGTAAGAAAATAATTAATGTTGGGGATGAGGTTTTCCTACCCTTACCCTTTCGTCGCAGATTGCGCAGGTTTTATCGTCGTTTCCATCTTCAGAACGATGTTTCTGTCCTGCCCTTGATTCATGATATTTTTGATCGAGCTAAAATATTGTCTGTAGAAAAACATCTGGCCGAAGAGGTCCAGTTTACCGAAAACCATTCGTTAAATGTCTCGAAACTTTTCTCTAGAAAAATACGAACTCATAGAAAGAAGTAGCATTCCATCCTCCGAGACGCTCTCGGAAATCCCATAGTTGATGCCCAGTTAACAGCTGATAGCTTCAATGACTTCCTGTCCAAAGCGTTCATTGAAGACTCGACCACTCCGCTTCCGAACATCCAGCCATTGACCGGGGCAGTTCTAGAAACTATAAGTTTCACTCTGCGGGATGTGACTGTTGCGATTCGGCGTTTTCCTCAATCTTATAGTCCAGGCCCTGATGGTGTCCCAGTAAGCATTTTAAAAGCCGATGCAAACACGATCTTCCCATCCCTCTTTTGCAAGATATTTAATCTTGCTCTTGAAAGTGAAACTTACCCTACCTTGTGGAAGGAATCACACATTTTGCCCATTCCTAAGCACGGCAAATCTACGTCATTTGATGACTTTCGGCCAATAAACACCCTCCCTGCAGTTTCGAAGATCTTAGAGACAATGATCAAGGATAAGATGATGCGTCACTTAACAGTGAATAACCTACTGAGTGTTGCTCAGCATGGATTCCTCAAAGCTCGATCTTGTGACACTTGTCAACTCTCTTTCTTTGACTATGTTCTCTAATCTAGGGACCATGGTTTTGCTCTTTTCACAGTATATTTCGATTTCACTAAGGCTTTTGACCGTGTTGACCATGCTCTTCTTCTCTTGAAACTGTCCTCTTTCGGAATAGGTGGCAAACTTTTGAATTTTATTTCCTCTTACCTGGGCACTCGTGCACAACGCGTTAAGATTTCCAATACTACCTCCAACCCCACACGTGTCAGGAGTGGACTCATTCAGGGTAGTGTACTCGGCCCACTTTTATTTTGTATTTTCGTTAATGATGTACCCGATTTATTTCAGAATGGTAAGCCTTCCATGTATGCCGATGATCTTAAAATTGCATATCGATATAAGCCGGCAGATCGTGACATCGTGCTTGAGCTCCTTACTGAAGGTCACTCCATAAATGTGCCCAGGGTTATAAATGATCTGGGTATATCATACTCCAAGAGTCTCAATCTCTCGGAGCACTGTGACTTGATAGTCTCCAAAGCACGCAGAACGACCAGGTTTATCCTCCGAAACTTTAAAACTAGGGACATCAGAATGCGCCTTTACGACATGTACGTTAGACCTGGTCTGGAATAATGTTTGTTTTTATTTAGCGTCATGCGTGCTACTGAGCGGAAGAAAATAGAATCCGTTTAACACTTTTTTATCAAGAGAATTTTAACCCCAGAAAACCGACATTTGTCTTACCAAGAACGTTGCCGGCTTACGGGCTTTGATCCCTTATGGTTCCGTAGATTACAAAAGGGACAATTTTTGCTATTTAAACTTTTATATAATCACACATTTAACCCACTCACTTCTTAAAGACATCTTATCCACCCACGACGTAACAGTCACCGTGAGGTCTTCTTATTTCTGCCTCTGGCACGTGCTGTTAAATATCGTCGGTTCTATTCTGTAAATGCAATTGCTATTTGGAATAAACTACCCATGAGTATGAAAACTCGGCAAAATTTTCCTTTATTTAAGAGAACTATTACTCGATTTTTGCATTCAGAAAAGCTTCCTCAAGTTGTGGGTTCTGAGTCCACTGATCGACTGTACCGTAGGGATGGCGTTTGTGGTCTCTGAACACTATGGCCAGTCTCACCAGCTGTTTCTGAACGTCTCTACTTTGACTATCCCCAACTTCATGAAAGGAATTGACGTCCGATAATCTCCGATACCGTGCAACCCCCTCACCCCACTTCTTGACGGTCGAAAATCTACCGCCAGCAGTTTTTTTTTCTCCTCAACCCTCCAAACCATAAAAACCACCATCAACTATATTTTTATTCTTCAGGAGTTTTTTTACCTGCTGGTCGGATTTGTGTTTAATCGCTTCCCTTGACAATGCCTGTAAACTGGCATTTAATAATAAATTAAATTAAATTAAATCTAACGATTCCTCAATTTTGAGAAATTCCTCAAAAGTCTTCCGAAGAAACTAAGAAAGAGCAGGATAAATTCCCACTGACGGTAGGATGGGAAAATACGATTCATTGAGCAATGGAGGACGACATTTCATTATGGTGGGTTCTAGGAATGCTATATGGATGCCAGTCGTGAAAAGCAAAACGTGCTAAATAGGGGACATTTAAAATAGCAGTCGTACTTTCAGTACACAAAGCAAGGGAGCTCTTTCTGAGGGTAGGACGAAAACCGAATAAAGTTTCATAGGGCAAACTTAGAGTGGAACCGACAATGTTGACGAGACCTCGACAAACCAGAGGCCTAAACGCAACTCCTATGTTAGTTAGCGATAACCGAAAGAGTGGCCTGATGGGTGCGTGTCAGCATAATCCTGGTTGTTCTTTGACAAATTATTTAAGGGGGACATCGCGTTTAGAGGTCACGATGCATGAAGTGACAAACTTAGCAAAAAGACCGGAATATCCAATAAAGAATTAAAGATCGAGGCAATTTAGCGCAAATTCCTGAATGCCCAACAGTCCATCTTCAAAGCCACGGAGGCAATTGCTGGCAGCCGATGCCAAATTTGCTAACATGGTCGCAGCAGTGGAATCAATCATCAGCCAGACGGGAGTGACAGACGAAACGATGGACCTCATTGGACACCAAGTGTCCTCCCTCCTCATGGCTCATAGGTCGTGCTTTCCAAGATCGAGCGCCATGCACTTAAGGAACTCAGGGCCGACAACGACCTCGTTATCGTGCCTGCGGACAAGGGGCGTTCAACAGTCGTATTGGACAGGACAGACTACAATCAAAACGTCAAAAGCTTGTTGGATGATCGTCAGTCCTATGTCCCATGTGAATCCAATCCCATGAAAACGCTGACACGCGAGATTAACGCGACGCTGTTGGCAATGGAGAACTCAGGTGCAATATCGCCAATCGACCGACGCATGGCTAAAGCACAAAAAACGCCCCTAACTCGATTCCACAGTCACCCAAAAGTGCACAAAGAGGGCGCTCCTCTTCGGCCTATCGTGTCACTAAAGGGCACTCCAACCTACGGACCGGCAAAGTGGCTGTTCCAACGTCTCAAGTTTCTGACCTCCAATTCGAACACTACAGTCAGATCGTTAACGCAATTCTTGGAGAAACTTAGAGGAGTAAGTCTCCTGCCAAGCGATATCATGGTTTGCTCTGATGTCACGTCCCTTTTTACTTCTATCCCGCAGGACCTGGCAGTCGAGTCAATCGAACTACTCCTACGAGAGAAGTACGACGAAACGGAGAATCGCCTTGGACACGCCCAAATCATCCAGCTCCTGAAGTTCTGTCTCAAGACGTACTTTACATTCGACGAAACAATCTACGAGCAGGTGAAGGGAACGCCAATGGGTTCGCCGATTTCGGGACTCATAACCGAGGCGGTCCTTCAACGGCTGAACTCGCTGGTTTTTCGACACCACAGACCGAAATTCTGAGCTCGGTATGTGGATGACACCTTCGTCGTAATCGAACGGGATCAGGTGTTAACATTCAAAGAACATCTCAACGCCGTCTTCCCGGACATTCAATTTACGATGGAGGAGGAGAAAAACAATCAGCTGGCCTTCCTGGATGTTCTCGTCTGCCGCAGAGATCGTTAACGCAATTCTTGGAGAAACTTAGAGGAGTAAGTCTCCTGCCAAGCGATATCATGGTTTGCTCTGATGTCACGTCCCTTTTTACTTCTATCCCGCAGGACCTGGCAGTCGAGTCAATCGAACTACTCCTACGAG